CCCCCCCCCCCCCTGTCGCTACTCGGACATTTGTCTCACCTGTCAGCATGAAGGCGATAACGGGGACGGCCTGGGGGCCATTTGCCATTTATGCGGCCAACAAACGACAAGCCAAGCCCGAATGTGTCAAGCGTGCTTTAGTAAGGGCGAACCTTACCCGAGTGGGCACTGTTCTGTGTGCCTTATAAGGTTCGGTGACGGTCGCAGATAAGTCAGCCTCCCAAAGAAGCAGGGCGCGGCAAAATTCGTCCAATATCTTGAAGGGCAGACGGAAGACGCCGTGAAGTTCCGGGCAACCCACGCACAAAGTCGTGACCTCATCAAGCGTCCCATACGCGACGGTGACCCTCTGTGTAACTACAACCAGTGTGTTTACGCTGAGCAGAAAAAAGCCGGGAGAAAAGGACACCTCGCGCGACAAGCACGTAGCAGCGACAAGCCTGGGCCGAAACCAGCGAACTTACGCGGCCCGTGCTCCCTTCCAGGCTGTCAAAACCGGGTTGAGGATAGAAAAGCTCGTCGGGCGGGGGCGCATTTCGCGAGTTGGGTTTTTCTGCCACGCAAAAAACTTGCCAATTTGGCAAACGGTGGGAAAAATCAAGCCAGAGACCACCATTTGCAATCCTTGTTATATGGACTGGTACCACAACAATGGCAAACACATCGAAGCAATGGCGCAACGGGTATTCAAAGGGGAAATGTCGTACAAGGAAGCCGCCGAAAAAGAAGCAGGCTACCTGCCTGTCCTGGACGCGGCAATCGCCAAGGGTGTCAGCAGTGATGACGGCGGGAGCGTTCGCTTTTTCTCACAGCAGAAGCTGTTGCTGCAATTTCTTGTGAGAGTGCTTCGAGAGTTCTTGGCCAAAAACGTACCCGTCACGTTTGATTTCCTGCGGAAAATACTCTTGGAGATGATCAACAAGGCTGATCCGGAAGGGGGGATTTAAGGGACCGCGAGCCCGAAGAAAAAAATCCAGAGATGGGTCGACGGGGAGTTGGACCTATTTGCAGCCAGCACTCCGATCGGCAGAAGTGCCCTTACATGTGTCCAGGATAACCGAAAACATCCAGCATTGCTTTACCGATGCATCCACAACATGCATCAAGTGGAGTCCATCGTTGCCAACTTGAACGAGGCGGTGGAGAAGGAAAAGCTCAAAGTGCACAAGTTGGAGGAGGAGGTAGCCCTTTTGAAGAAGTCAAGCTCCTTGCAGAAACCGAAGGATAGCGACACCTTGAGCAGTGCGGCAATGGCATTACGTNTTCCCGGACGACTTTGTTGCAGCTTCCTCGGGAAAGAGGCTTGACTGGGTGGTGACGAGCCCTCCGTACAGAGTGCTCTTATTTTGTCAAGGCCGCGATGTCGGTGGCTACGAGAGGCGTGGCGGTCAAACTGCCCCTTCTTTTCTGGAACCCTGCGCAGACCGGGGTGGTTGGCTTCAAACGAATCCCCCATCTGTGTGCGTCTTTCTACGGAGAGCTAAATACACACGTGTGAACAAATGAAAGATGGGCGAATTCTGGGGTGTGTGGTATACTCAGGACATTCGCTGCGACACCACGACGAGGCTTGTCTTCTGTTCTGAATAGCATGGCTGCGATTTCGAGCACAGGATAGTCAGATGTATGCATACATCTGACTATCCTGTGCTCGAAATCGCAGCCATGCTATTCAGAACAGAAGACAAGCCTCGTCGTGGTGTCGCAGCGAATGTCCTGAGTATACCACACACCCCAGAATTCGCCCATCTTTCATTTGTTCACACGTGTGTATTTAGCTCTCCGTAGAAAGACGCACACAGATGGGGGATTCGTTTGAAGCCAACCACCCCGGTCTGCGCAGGGTTCCAGAAAAGAAGGGGCAGTTTGACCGCCACGCCTCTCGTAGCCACCGACATCGCGGCCTTGACAAAATAAGAGCACTCTGTACGGAGGGCTCGTCACCACCCAGTCAAGCCTCTTTCCCGAGGAAGCTGCAACAAAGTCGTCCGGGAAGGACTCCAAGCTGGCGTCAAGGTTGGTATCCGCGGGATGCCTGGCATCGAGAACAGCAGTCAAAAGAAACTTCACCGATCGCGCACCTCATATGGAAAAAATACCGTTCATCCAAACGTGATTGCTTTCACCAAAGACACCCACTGGATATACAATGGCCACATGCATGTTCGACAAGATAGCTCCCCTCACGTGAAATGAATTAGCATGTGCAGAGATTTTAATTGCTGGGCTACTTTCAGATAACCTCACACACCGTTCTTACCCCGAGCTCACGTCGTTCGTGAGGACCTCACACGTGGGTCGAAGACGGGTCGCCACGGCGTCCGTGGGCCCGCCGCACATGTCCAAAATACATCCTGTGATAGACACAGCACCCAGTGAAGCTTCCACCGCCTCAGGTGAAGTGCAGTACCTATCAAGCCACCGTCGCTTCAGGTGCGTTTGTGGTTCAGGTACACTCCGCATACCCGTGGCATGGCGCGGCGTCTGCGCTGCCTTACGTGCTCTCCGGTCTTTACTCCGCTCCTTGCTCATCCTTTGCTCGTGCTTTTTGTACAATTGCAGCAAGCAACCAGAACGCTTGCACAGTGAGAGTGCTCGCACCTAACCCCCCCTCGTCCAAGGCAGGAAACTGGCTTGCAATGCCAATCTCGTCTACGAACGCCCGGAATTGGCTGCTGGTCCTGGGCCTCATGTGCCGCAAGGCAGAAGCTTCTCCTCCTCTAAGGCACGCGGTACAGCGGTTTCCAGTTGCCGACATCGGATAAAAACCGGTCCAGATTTCGTGAACAACAAATAAAAAAGTCTGTTGACAAAACCAAGACTAGTTGGAAGAGTGGCAAGGACTACAGAACATCATTTCGAGACAGATGCGACTGCTGTAGCGGCAGCAGGGACTCACGACCGGGCGCAGCTTAGGCCTGTCCTCCATCGGCCGTTTTATTTTCGATTTAGATACACAAACTTTATTTCTATACTAATTTCAAGTAATTCCACCTTCTTATTCTCCGTCATACAAGCAAAACGGCCGATGGAGGACAGGCCTCGCGCAGCTATGACTGCGCCGTTTTATAAGGTTCCGCCGCGTTTTGAGGCACCATATCGGGAGGGTCTGTATCGGCGTCCACAGACCAGATCCCAAATTCTATAATCGATTTTTCAGGCCTGTGCTTATCAAATGCTTGAGCCCTCCAAGCGCTGGTTCATTTTGTGTACCTCACGCTCCGAAACTGGGCGTCAAAGTTCGTCTCCCAAAGCGGCGGAACCGTGGCTCGTAAAACAGGCCGCAGCCTGCCACAGGCCAACGACTCGAATCTCAATCACCCAAGGTACAATACACCGTTATAAATCACTCACACGTGTAGTATGTGACTTCCTTGAGCTTCTCGCGCAGTTTAGTCTCTGTCCTTCCGCTGAGCGTCGCGCGCCGTCGTGCTGAACGTGCTGGTGATTTGACCGTTGCCCGTGAGGGGGCTCCGCGGGTGCTATTTTGTTGTCACTGGTACCCGGTGTGCTTTTCGTCGTACTTTTCCAACTTTTTCCTATTGGAGCAACGTCGGTGCTCGATAAACATTTAACACCCCACCCGAAACCGTCGTTCTTATATTTTTTTCGAGCACGATGGCCGACCGGACTTATTCCTTGCTCACTCCAATAGCAGAACCGCCTCATTCATCCAATCCAATACAACCAACGAATGATGAAAATGATGCAACAGGTTACACACCGGCAATTATTAAGTGTTACGACAAGGTCCACAATTATTTACTAGGCCACAAGATATCGCTTTTAGCTTTCGCCGCCTGCATTTCTCCGGATACGCACATGCACGTTGGCAGCGGGTTTTACAGGAAACAAACTCCCACCCGCAGTTGAGCGCCAAACGAGATACTGTACTTCGTTTACTGAGGTCAAGCCTTTAGGTACATCTGCTTTGAACGCAGTCCGTGCATGGCTGCCATCCAGAAAACATCGCAATGGGACAAAAAGAGGCACGTCGCCTTCAGCCACGTCGCGCACCTGGGCGTCGATAACGTGCTCTTCGCCCTGGTGAGAAGGTGGCAATTCATAGAGAATGTAGCATGTCACAAACATGGTAGGTAACATGGAACCCCGCTCTGCATATTGACATGCGTGTGCCGCGTTTGTAGGTCATTTTGGATGCTACATACAGACTCGCATTATAATCCTTGACGTCTTCTATGGATGGGTGAAGATTGTTGTCCGTGCAGCACCACAAGAAGTATTCTGTGTAGGCTCGTCAACGCGAAGACGAAGATCAACGAAGAAAGCAGTGCTTTGCTTATTCCTAACGTCGTGAGGGGGAAGGATGCTGCAAGCCTACTCTTTCGGCAAGATATAATTCAAGCAAGTTTGTTCCCAACGTTGTAGTCTATGTCCAAACTGCCCAAGACATGCTGCGACTGGCTTCGAACGCATGATCGTTTGTAAAAACTCTACCTTTGCCGTGTTTGCTATGCATACATGAAGTTTATATAGGCATAAAAAATGTCCAGTATCTGGAGAAGAACACCGGAAGACCCTTCGAACATTAGTACAGGCACCGTACTTGTAGCGATTCAGGATGGACAATAACTCAAGCACGGGTGTCCTGCCTCTCGTTCGTGGTTTAGTAATACGAGACGAAGAGGATATTCTCTACTCTGAGAAGGTTAACTTGCTCTTACATGTTGGCGCGTGGGGTGGCGACGGGGGCTGCATGTAATGATGAGCGAAACAGAAAATAAACCATCAACGAAAACGCGACAAATGCGGACAGTCAGGCAGACATGAGCGAGTTCGAGCACAGAATCGTTCCAATCGCCATCATCGTACGTGCGAACAACCGAAGACGCAAGTATAACGTCTGCTGTGACATTGCAGAGGCTGCGAGCCGGATCGTTGGACCCAGCGGCAGTCAACAAGTCGGTCCTTGCGTATTCGACGGGCGACGACGCCGACGGAGCAGCAGAAGACCCCGCCGCTCGCGGGAGAAGGAACAGGGACAGGGAGAGGGCAAAGCGCGAAGCTAGGCGCAAGGGAGCGGCGGCGGCGGCGGCGGCGGCGGCAGTCGCAAATGCGAACGAGGACAACCTTCATACCGCTGCAGGTACATCGGGAGATGAGAGGCATGCGGGGTGGGGGAGGTGTAGTTGTTCGTAGGGTCGCTTTGTGTCAAGTGCTCAATCAAAAACGGTCTCAGGAGACGGAAGAGTGGAAGGAAGAACCATACCCATTCCTTAGGCCCTCGCGTGTTTTCGAATGCTGGTTGTTGATGTTGTGGTTGTTACTCCTGTTGTCTTGACACTCGCAAAAGACGTTCATATCCATTGCGTCTCATTTACCCGTGCTATCCACGGTGTTTGTCTTGTCGCTTATCGTTTGCGCAAGAAACCTTTTCTGACTTGTCGCATTTGTGTTTGTAATTCTCATCATTTCCGTCAGGACTAGAGCACACCATGGCTGTCGCAAACTTGCCCCTCGATCGCAACAACAACGTTGTAACATGCGTGCAACAGCCGGTGGCAAAAAGAGGAGCGGGGTAAATTGCATTTACACTAAGTCACCAGATGATGAGGCTATGTTGAGGCGCTGTATCCACGAGCAACCTTGAACACGCAAAATCACGATCCCTGTCCTTGTCGACGACGCGCGAAAAGGCGTACGCCCGTGCGGCTTTGAATCAAATGGAACCGAAACATGTCCATACGAAGTGCATAATAATCATTGTCCTCGTATGTTGTTTGTACTAACCCCCCTTCTCTCCGTGCAGGATTGGAGGGTTCCGCCATATCCTCGGCCCTCGGGCATGGCGCCCCGTGCAGGAACAAGTCCTGCGGACGTCGAGAGGCGCTGGAGGATAAGCTCATGGCCAAGTGGGAGCAGATCAAGACCGAGCTGGCGGCCAAAGTCAAGCACGCGCAGAAGCTAAGGCGGTCGGTGAGTGAGTGGAGTAGGGCGAGGGCAAGGGGGGGTGCAGGTACATCTTACAGGGACACGCAGAGGCGCCCGCGGGGGTCACGTTATTGAAGGCGGAAAGGCAAGCGTCAGTCGCGAGCAATGAATGGTGTTTCCACCATGATAACGAAGATCTTTGTTCGTGGCAGTGTAGACTGACTGGCCGCAAGACCCTGGTGGCCTCATGTCGACCACTGCGGAGCCAAAACCGTTGTTCAAGAGGCAAGAAGATTTTCACGAACCATCGCAACCGAAATGCACAAACGCGCCATCAACGCTTCGAAACCTCGACCCGCAACAAAAGGCGCTCCGTTACGGATCCAATAAAAAATACTAACTGATCGTTGTTGCGCTGTTGCGCTACCCCATAAGCCTGTGCCTGCACAGTCTTGAAGCACGTACACCAAATCATCACGCAAATATTATATCATGTCTAAGGTTGAAGAGAAGGAGAAGAAGAGAGATGCCACCGTCGAAGAAATTACCGCTCTTAAAGAAGCAGAGGAGGGAGAGTCCGCGGGCGTGGAGGAGCAGAAGAAGCGCATACAAGCGGCGGAATCAGAAGGACGAAGGATTCTAGAGGAAAGCCAGCGGCTGGAGGTAGAACTCCGGAAACTCAGGGTGCGGTACCAGGTGAGTGGGGGCAGAAGGGCAATGACGTCGCTCTTGTTTGTCGAGACATTTACGCTGCTACTACGGGCACTTGTGATGATTTCGGTGGAGAGAAGGTGTTATCCGTACAGTACTGCTTGTTGACTCGACAGGCAGGCGAGACAGAGGTCTAACGGGACGCCATAGGCAGGGGGGACGGGTTCTTCAATAGGTTGTGGAGCGATCCATCGACAACTACCCACGAGCACACCAGGTTGAAATCTCATCCAACATTCGATGCCCATCACTGATGGCAACGGAAACCTCTCGTCGACTGCACAAGTAGACTATCGCGTTCGTTCGCAACATCTATCCGCCATCTATTGTCTAGGAGGCGCATGGAGTCTTCGCCCTCCCCCCGGTGTTTGCCATCGGGGTTGGGTTTTCGTCGCTTGGCAACGAAGTTGTAAAACAAGCCACCCCCTCGGTGTTTGCCATCGCCATCGGGATTGGGTTTTCGTCGCCTGGCAACGACGTTGTAAAACAAGCCAATTCACTTCGTGAACTCGGCAACCAGGTTACCGTTTGTTTTTTTACCTCCGTTTTTCTTTTTGGTGGTAACCATAATGGTGGTCGAGTAGATCATGTTGTGCGGGGTGGAGAACCCTCACTCCGCGCAAGGGGGATGATCGCACCACGTTGTGTTAAAATGGTCAAGCACCCTCGAGGCAGTTACACAGTGCTTACAACTGTCTCTGGAAGTGAAAGCACCAGAAAATAAATTAAGTCATACGCAGCTGTCATACGCAGCTAAGGAAGTAAGCA